CTGCGGTGGCCGGGAGCGGCCACTGCACTCCAGTCTAGGCGACGGAGTGAGACTCCCAACTCAAAAAAAAAAAAAAATTTTTTTTAATTGAGGATAAAATGATAAACATCTGCAAACAAACTCCAGCACAGGGTCCGGCTTATGGTAAGCTCAACATATAGTAGTTTAAAAGGTTCAGGTGGTAGGGCTGCTGTTAGGGACAGATGCCTAGTATGTGATAGGTACCTAGAATGCAAGACCAGTGACTTTCTTTTTCTTTTTCTTTTCTTTTTTTTGAGTTGGAGTCTCACTCCATTGTCCCGGGCTGGAGTGCAGTGGCACACTCACGGTCACCCCAGCATCGGCCTTCTGGGCTCAGGCGATTCTTCCACCTCAGCCTTCCAAGTAGCTGGAACTACAGGTGCGTGCTACCATGCCCAGCTAATTTTTGATTTATTGTAGAGACGAGGTCTCACCAAGTTGCCCGGGCTGGTCCCAGATCTGCAGGCTCAGGCAATCTACTCGCCTTGGCCTCCCAAAGTGCTGGGATTACAGGCTGAGCCACCGAGCCCAGCCAGTGATTTTCAGTGTTATTGAGAGGAAGAATCACCTGGAGTTTATGGAAATTGCAAACTTCCGAGTTCATCCCTAGAGATCCTGACCCTGAAAGTTTGTGCAGGGTCCAAGAAGTTGCATTTCATTTATGCATTTTTTTTCCCTGCCCCTAGCCTCCTCCCCTTATTTATGCTTTTTATTTTATTTTATTCTTTTTTATTTTTTTAAAAGACAGAGGTCTTGTTCTATTGCTCAGCCTGAAGTGCAATGGCAGGATCATAGCTCACCACAACCTTGAACTCCTGAGCTCAAGTAATCTGCCTGCTTCAGCCTTCCAAGTGGCTGGGACTGCAGGTGCACACCACCACACCTGGCTAGTTTTTAAAAATTTTTGTAGAGATAAGATCTTGCTGTGTTGCCCCAGACTAGTTTCAAACTTCTGTCCTCAAGTGATCATCCTGCTTTGGCCTCCCGAAATGCTGGCACCACAGGTATGAGCCACCGCACCCGGCCCATTTCCACATCTTGAAATTCATTTTATATATGGGACGTTCTACTGCTAATGCAAGCTACCACCACTCTAAGTGCTGTGTATTTTGTGTAATTACAACATAACACTCCTGTTATTGTGCTCATTTTCCAGGGAGGATATTGAGGCCCTGAGAGAAGTGCAGCCTGGCCAGTTTGGCTCGAAACCCTGCACCCTTAACATTGACCATAAGCAGTAGTTCTACACCAGTGATCTTTTTTTTTTTTTTTTTTGAGTTGGAGTCTCACTCT